CCCCCCACGCCCCCCCTCTCGCAGTATGCCGTCGCCCGGAGCCCGGCGACCTGGCGCCCCGGCGCCTCTGCGCGTCGACACGTCGGTTGCACCTGGCCGCCCCCCGGCACCAAGCCGGCCGGCCGGGGGCGGCATGCACGCACGCCTGCTGGCCCTCCGTCGGATGGCCATGCGCGCGGTCTTCCTGCTGGTGCTGGTCCTCTGCAGCACCCCCATGTGCGCCGGGATCCTGGTGCTGCAGCCGTGGTTCCAGCTGGTCGGGTATCTTGGCCTCTGGACCGCGCCCCTGGGCTGGCCGGATGGCTCGCTCACCGAGCACCCGGCCGAGCTGGACGCCGATGGCAAGCCGGCCGCCGGCGCGGCCCGCGCCACCGGCATGCTTGGCCGCACGCGCGCCGTCCGCCGGTACATGGCTCTGCTCCAGTGCCACTGGGCCACGCTGCTGACGTTGCTGCATTACTGCCTCGGCCCCGGGGAGCTGGTGGTTACCGGGGACCTCGACCGGTGCGTCGTCTGCCCGGCGGCCGACCTGCCTCCCCGCCGCTCTCCTTCCTCTTCCCGCCACCCCGGCCCTGCACGCGGTGCACATGGCGCGCGGGATGCATCCATCACACGCACACACGCACGCACACACGCACGCAGGGACTGACCTCGCTATCATTACCACCACCACCGTCCAATGCACACGCATTCGCGTGTAGCCTCTTCCGCGACAACTCCGTCCTCCTGGCCAACCACCAGACCACCGCCGACTGGTGGTTCCTCTGGACCCTGGCCCACCACCGGAACCACGAGCTCCAGATTGAGGCCCGCCAGCGGGCCGCCGCCGCCGGCATCCGACGGACATGGCGCGATGCCCTGTCCGGCCGGCCGGCCCCCATGGCCGGCGCCTTTGTCATCCTGCTGAAGGCCTCCCTGCAGCACATCCCGGTGTTCGGCTGGGTGCGTGCGGGAAGCGCGCGCGCGCGCAGGACCCCCCCCCCCTCCCTCATCTCCCCCCTCACAGCCGCACACATGCCGCACACATGCCGCACACATGCCGCCCGCTCCCCTTCGCCGACCGGCGCTAACAAAGGAGCACCCACTGCCAAATGCCATCCATGGACGCACGCGTGGGAAATGCCCAACCATCCCCAGGGAATGCAAATCTTCCGCTTCATCTTCCTCAAGCGCAACTGGCTCGAGGACCGGCTGCCGCTGGTCCGGCAGCTGCGCTACCTGCGGCACCTGTCCCAGGTGGACGACGCCCCCATGACGGTCATCCTCTTCCCCGAGGGGACAATCCCCTCCCCCGGCACGCGCAGCCGGTCGGACGCCTTCTCCGAGAAGCGGTACCTGGAGCTGGCCGAGGCGCTCGGACTGCCGGACAGCCAGCCGGACAGCCAGCCGGCCCCGGGCCACGCCCCGGTCGGGCTGCCCCCCAACGCCGCCGCCGGCTCGCCCACCGACACGCCCACCGACTCGCCCACCGACACGCCCACCGACACGCCCACCGACACGCACTCGGTCAGCTCCCTGGACTCGTGCTGCTCCTCGTCGTCGGACTCGGAGTCCGCCTCCAGCGGCGAGGAAACCGCCGACGAGCAGTCCCTCCTCTCCCACCACCACCGGCACCATGATCATGCGCTGCTGGCGGTGGACCTGCTCAAAAAGCCCTCCCCCCCCCTGAAGCCGGAGCAGCCGGCCGTCACCCCCCCGACCCTTGCCGCCGCCGCCGCCGCCGCCGACACCAACACCGACACCGACACCGACACCGCCGCCGCCCTGGCCCAGCTGGCCGCCTGCTACCGGGCCACCTGCGACCGGTGCCACTTCGCCCCGGCCAGCCTCCCCTCGCGGCAGGCCTTCCTCCAGGCCCACCGCATGGAGCAGGTCCTGTACCCGCGGGTGCGCGGCGCGGCGGCCGTCCTGCGCAGCCTGGCCGGCCCGGGCAGCGCCTGCCCCACGGTCATCGACGTGACCCTCGGATACCAGTGCATGGATGAGGAGGTGTTCCATGGCTGGGCGCCGGCCAGCATGCGCGACCGGCGCATGCTGCGCTTCTTCGCCGACGAGTCGGCCGCCACCGGGGCCCGGCCGGATGCCCGGGGCAATCGCAACGGCCAGGCGGCCCTGCGGCGCCTGGCGGCCGGCGGGCCGGCCGTCCAGGACGAGCCCCCCAGCTTCACCAACCTCGTGGTGGACCCCCAGCCGGGCCCCATGCGCCGGCGCATTCACATGGACCTGCGTGTGCACTCGGCCGCGCGGGTCCCCTTCGGCCCGGTGCCGGATCTGACCACGGCCGCCGCCCGGGCCCGGTACTCGGATTTGACCGAGGCCGGGGCCATCGACGCCCCGGCCCCGCGGCTGGAATTCTGGCTGGAGACCATCTTCCGGCGGAAGGCCCTGCTGCTGAGCCGGCTGTCTTCCTTCGGGGCCTTCTTCCCGGCGGCCGATGCCGTCCCCCTGAGCCCGGCCTCCCCGCGGCCGGCGGCGGCGGCGGCGCCCGCCCCGGCGGCCAAAAGTGCCTGCTACTGTCGCTACGAGGACTCGCTCCTGGCCGCCATGGACAGTCGCCCGGCCGACGGCACGCTGGCGTGCGACCGGGCCGGCGTCTCCCGTGTGTACCCCCTGAAGCCGGTGCCCGGGTCGGTCCTGCCGCTGGTGGCCTGGATCTTCCTGGGGTTCCTGTGCCTGGCCAGCATGCGCTTCGGCCTGACGGCGCTGCTGAAGCTGACCTTCATCGGCCCGGCGCACCCGGGGCTCCCGGCGGACCTGCTTCGCGCGGTGGGCTACTGGTCCGGCGCGGCCTTCGTGGCCGGGGTCAGTGCCTGCCTGTGGGCGTGACATGCGCGCGGGGCCTCCCCCTCCCTCTCCCGGTCTCTCTTTCTCTCTTTCTCTCGCGCCTTCCCCTTCTCTCTGCTCTCTCCGCCCGTGTGGCGCGACGCGCCCCGTGTCTCTGTCTTTCTCTCTTCCTCGCTCTCTCTCTCTCTCTCTCTCTTGCATATTGTTGTGCGAACCGGGGCGAAAACGAGAGCAGGTACATATGGTGGATTGCGCGTGACTCTGCGCATGTACATGTCTGTGGCGCATGTGCAGGGAGGGCGGGCAGGAAAAGTACCAGAGACCCGGGCGCGGGGCCTCTCATGCACTTTGGGCAAAAATAAAATCCGTGTTGTCACTCGCGCGGTCGGGCATCCGGGGGGGCATCCCGGGCAGGCACAACAAGGTCACCCCAAACGGCACGCACAAGGAGCAGCGAGGGCAAAGGTGCACATGGGAGTCCCGAGCATGGGAGATGGCAAGGACACGTGTGTGGGGCGACAATGAAAGGAACACAGGCCACGGGGAGGGCACAGGAGCCGGGGGAGGCAGGAGGGCCGCAGGGGAAGGCGCAAGGCGATGCAAAGGGCGGGCGACAGGCGGGGAGGGGGCAGAAGAGGGAAAATGCACAGAAGGCTCGGAAGATGGAAAAAGACATGGAAGAAAACCGACACACAAAAGAGGGACCAGGGAAAGAAATACACAAAAGACACACGAAAGTGCGGCCCTGCAAGCGAACTCCAGTCACCTTGTAATATCGTATAAGATGGAAAAAGACATGGAAGAAAACCGACACACAAAAGAGGGACCAGGGAAAGAAATACACAAAAGACACACGAAAGTGCGGCCCTGCAAGCAGAGACAACACAGTCATCGGGGAATGTTTTTGAATTCAAGGACAGGGACATGTGGCGCCCGTGGGGAGAGGAGGAGACCAGGCCCGGGCACGCGCGTGCCAAACACGGCAGACACGCCACACGCGAAGAGGAAAAGAGAGAGAGAGAGAGAGACAAGAGGCACACACACACAGCACCGCTAGTCGGCTGCCGGCAGGACGCGAGCCAGGATGGCGTTGATGGCCGAGCGGCAGATCGGAAGAGCGTCGTGCAGGGACATGTGGCGCCCGTGGGGAGAGGAGGAGACCAGGCCCGGGCACGCGCGTGCCAAACACGGCAGACACGCCACACGCGAAGAGGAAAAGAGAGAGAGAGAGAGAGACAAGAGGCACACACACACAGCACCGCTAGTCGGCTGCCGGCAGGACGCGAGCCAGGATGGCGTTGATGGCCGAGCGGCTGAACCCCGCGCGGCGGCTGATTTCCGACAGCGACAGCTTCGGCGAAGTCTGAAGGGCCAAGTCCAGGACGTAGGCCTCCAGCGAGGGACAGCGCGCGCCGGACTTCGCGAACTCCGGCACCAGACGGTTGATGGTCTGCCGGACCACGGTGAAGGAGCAGCCCAGCTGGTTGGCGATCTCCTCCATGGTGGCACGCCGCGTCAGGTGGTACTCGGCGGTCGGGGTGTGGACCACGGTCACCGTGGTTTGCCGGGCCAGGTGCACGATTTCGGCGATCAGCTGCGGCGAGGCGGCCTTCCGGCCGCCGGGCGCAGCCGGGGCCTTGAGCAGGGAGGTGTCCGCCCCAGCCGCCACGGGCCCCTGGCCGGGCGGAGCGCCATCGACAGCCGGGGCCACGGGGGGCAGTTCGGCGGCCGACACCGGCGACACCGTGGCCAGGAGTTCCCGCGCCCGCGAGGCCAGCGGGCATGTCTGGTCCAGGGCCGCCTGGCGCAGGGCCACCAGCAAAATGCGCTCCGGAATGCCGGTGTCACTGACCAGGCCGGCCAGCGTCTTGGACTTGGTGATGGCATACTCCTGGGGGCTGGCCAGCAGCAGGGCGCGGATTTGGGCCCGCTGCTCCGACGACACCGACCGCAGCATCACGAACTCCGGGCACTCGGCCTGCAAAATGGACCGGACGTGGTACATCGAAATCCCCGTCTGCCGGGCGATGCTGCTGATGCTGTGCGTGTGGCTCGACGGCCCGGTGGCCAGGGCGATGACCTCCGCGCGGCTTTCCGCCCTCCGGGCGGCCTGGGCCGTCTCCATTTCCACCAGGTATTCCGGCGCCAAGTGCGACAGGGCCCGCCGCAGTGTCTCCACGGGCCGATTCAAGCGCCGGCTCACCTCGGCCAGGGGGACCCCCTGCCGGGCCAGTTCCAGGGCCTCCTGCCGCCAGGGGTGCTGCTGGCTCATGGGCGACCGGAAGTCCGGCATATTGCGCCCGAGGGACTCTTGCACGGTGGTGCGCGCCCTGTCCAGCAGGATGGCCATGTCGGTCATGGACAGGGCCAAGTGCCGGGTGGTGGGGTCCTGCTGCAGGGCCGTGCTAAAGTGCGCCAGCTGCAAGAGCCGCACCCGGGTCCGAGTACGCGGGGTGCTGTCATTCAGCCCGGGGAAGGGAGCCTCCTCCGGGCGGTAGCTGTCCATCGGATTGGCGCCCAATTGGTCCTTGGCATTGGCCAGGACATCGGCCGCCAGGATGCCGATGGCGGTGAAGCGCGCCGCCTGGCCCCGGGCCCCGTCGAATTCCAGCCGGCGCAAGGCCGCCAGGGCATCAGGGCTGATGGGCCTCCGGGGGAGGATGGCCACCGTGTCCAGCGCCGACAGCAGGGCCTCCCGGCTGGACAGCACCGTGCTCGCGGCATCGGCCCCCGGCAGGGCCACCGCCTGGGACGAAAGGAAGCGCCACATGCTGCTCGGCCGCCCGAACGACTGACCCGCCACAATGGCCGTCGTGGATACGGCATGCAGCTTGTCCGAGGCCCGGTACAGGCGCGACCGGCCCACCGGCCGGACCGCCGCCCGGGCATGCTGCGCAAGGGCCCACCGGCGCTGGCGCGGCGGCAGGCCACTCTGGGCAAGGGCCGCCGCGGCCACATCCCCCGGCGCCAGGACCGCCAGATGATCGCCGGAGCGCGTCCGGGCCGCGGCCCGGACCCCGGGCTCGATGAAGCCCGGCACCCGTGCCGCATGGCTGATGACCGACATCGGGTCGCGCATTTGCGACACCCAGGCAATGTCCCGGTCCATGGAGGAGAGAACCCGATTGCGCAGGGAGATCCCCAGCAGGAAGTTGGTCGAGAGCAGCACCGGCGAGGCCAGCACCCGGGTCAGGGCCCGCGGCGCCGCGATGAACCCCGGTTGCGAGGCCATCCGCCGGTGCGGCAGGGCCGCCAGCGATCCGGCCATGGCCGGCAGCGGCGCCCGCGACCCGGCGCTCGAGGCGATCACGGCACCGGCCGGCACGCGGGTGCGCCCGTGGCCCGAGGGCCCCGGCTGCCGGCCATCCACGGAATTGGGCCACAGGGAAATCCGAGAGCGCTGCACGCTGGGCAGAGACCGCGAGGCTGTCGCCAGGGACAGGCCCTCGCGCCCTTGGATGTTGCCAATGGGAACCCTATGCGCGAGCGAGAGCATCGGCGAGCAGTGCACGCACGCGACCGTGGGTATGTGCAGGGCCAATGTCCCCGGGGCAAGAGGCGTGCAGGGGGGGGGGGAGGGGCAGCGAGATGATGCCCAAAAGAAGGGAGCTAGAAGGGGCCGGGGGCCAGAGGCCGAGGGGAGGGCGAGGGGGAAGGGCGGACGGGGGGGGCAAGGGGGGAGCGGATCAGGAGGAGGGGGAGGGGAGATCTGTTGGGGCCCGGGCCCGGCTGGCGTTGGGCAGTGGTTCACGAAATGTCCGTCCCCCAGCTGCCCGAGCCCCCCCCTCCCTCCTCGGGGCGTCCCCGGCTCCCGAGACTGGGGTGTGCTGTTTGCCACACGCCGGCGCGGCAGCTGGCCGGAGCGTCGGGAGCTCATCCTCTAGAATGACATTTCCACGAAGGCGCGTGATTGCGCAAGCCGGGATCGTTGGCACTCCCTCGGCAGACGCCCCGCGCGATCTGGGTGACGCGGCGATCTCGCGCCTCGGCTTGCGTGTCTGCTGCGCCCCGGCGGGCGAGCCGAGGCGGATGATCGGCGGCGTGGCGCCGGCGGGTTAGGACAGGAGAGAAGAAGGCGCGACGTGCGAGCCCCCCCCCCCCGGCCAGAGGGGCTCACGGCATATCCCCCCTTCCCCCCCCCCTCTCTCTCTCTCCTTCTTTCTCTCTCCCTCCCTCCCCCCACGTCCTTGCACGTGTCGCCCTGCCTGCCTGCCCGCCCATCTCACAGCGCCGCTCAGCCATGAGAACTTGCTACTACACCCTCCTGGAGGTGGAGATTGACGCGGATGAAAAGCAACTCCGCCGCGCGTATCTTCGCCTTGCGGTCAAGTACCATCCTGGTGCGTCCTGGCCTGCTTGTGTCTGGCGTCGACGGGCGCCTTGTCTCGGCCGCCGGAATGTCGCCCCCCGCTTCCCCCCCCTGCCAGGGTGCTGCGGCGGGTGGGGTCCATGCGTCTTCGCTGTCTGCGCTGTCCCGTGTGTGCGCGCGCGCGGCCTGCATGCATGAACGCATGCGCCCCCCCTCCCCCCGCGCATGCCGCATCAGCCGACACATGCATCTTTGTCTCGTCGGCGCACCCTCCCGCGACGCGGCAGCCGCGTACCGCCTCGGCCTCGTGGCGGCTGTCCTGCCGAGGGCGTGGCACATGCTCGCCCGAGACGCGCGAGCTTCGATGCGGCCACATACACACACACACACACGCACACGTGCCTGCCCTTCTCCACGTCACTGACACCTGCCCGCAGACAAGAACCTGGACGATCCGGAAACCGCGCAGAAGCACTTCCTCCAGGTGAAGAAGGCCTACGACGTGCTGAGCGACCCGAATGAGCGGGCCTGGTGCGTGCTGGCCGGGCCCCAGGTCGTATGGGCCCCTGACGCCAACTGACCGCCATCGTCTCCCGCCCCCCTCCTCCCCCCGGACACCGGCGCAGGTATGACAAGAACCGCGAAGGTGCGTCGGTCGCGCTGCCCGCCTCCCTCCCCCCTTCCTTTGCCCCCGGTTTCCGGCGCCGCATCCCCCCTCTGACACATCGTAGCCATCCTCATGGGCGACGACGACGAGGCCGAGGAGATCGACCTCGAGCAGTACTTCCAGCCGACGGTCTTCCGTGGGTTCTCGGATTCCGACGACTTTGTGCGTGTGTCCCCTTGCCCCCGGGGGCTGCTTGCTGCCTTTTCTCCCTCCGCCGCCGCCGCCGGCGCTGACCCTCGCATGGGCTCGCCACCGCCCCCCCCTCCCCCCTTCCCCTCCCCGGTGTCGGCCCTGGCGGAGGCACCAGAGCTTCTACGTCGTTTACGGAGACCTCTTTGAGGAGCTGCGCCTGCAGGAGGAGGACGCCTTCTCCTGGGTGAAGATGTCCAACCGGAGCGCCAGCTTCACCCTGGACCTGCCGCCCTTCGGGGACAGCGGCGCGGCCGAGGCCGACGTGCGGGCCTTCTACGCGGCGTGGATGAACTTCTCCACCTACAAGTCCTTCACGCATCTGGGCATCGGGGTGGACAGCTTCCAGGACATGCCGAACCGGTACACCCGGCGGTATTATGAGAAGGAGAACCGCCGACTGCGCGACGCCAAGAAGCGCGAATACAGCACCACGGTCCGGGTACGCGCATCAGGGCCGCCCCCCTTTGTGCCCCCCTTGTCTTCTCCGCCCCCCTCCCCCCTGGCTGTGCATCGACTGACACGTGGGATGTGTTTGTGTGGCCTGGCGGCCGACGGTGGCCGGCGCAGAACCTCGTGGCACATGTGGCCAAGCGCGACCGGCGTCTGATTGCCTTCGACCAGGTCCGCCAGGCGGAGGAGGCCCGCCGCCGGGAGGAGTACAACCAGCGCAAGAAGCAGGAGCAGGAGGAGCGTGCGGCCAGCGCGGCCGAGCGCTTTTCCAAGCCGCCCTCCTGGCTGCTGGACCCGGCGTACCGGGATCACCTGGACCCGGAGGACCTGTCGGATGGGGATGACTTTGACGATGTGCTCTTCTGCCCGGCCTGCAACAAGACCTTCCGCTCGGAGATGCAGTGCGTGCCGTCGTCCTCTCTCTGCCCCGCCCCCGCCCCCCCTCTCCCCCTCGGCAATGTGGATGATAGTCCTTCCCCTCTCCCGCGGCCCGCAATGTGCCTGCATGCGGTCGGTTTACTGATGGCTCCTTTTCCCACGCACGCCCCCCTTTCACGCTCCTCGGCGACCAGGCTGAAGAACCACAACCGGTCGCGCAAGCACCTGCAAAACATGAAGCAGCTACAGGAGGAGATGGCCATGGAGGATGCCATGTACTTTGCGTCCAACGACCAGGCCAACAGCGATGAGGACGTCGAGTATGTCACCTCGGATGAGGACGCCATGTCGGCTGCCTCCTCGGAGGACGAGTTCGAGGATGATTCCGAGTCTGAATCCCAGCCCGAGGGTGTTCCCCAGGGCGAAAGCGCTTCCGAGGAGGATGATGATGATGATGATGATGAGTCAGAGCCCGGGTCAGAGTCCGAGTTGGAGCCTGGGTCGGCGTCAGAATCCGAGTCCGAGTCCGAGTCCGAGTCCGAGTCTGAGTCCGAGTCCGAGTCCGAGTCCGAGTCCGAGTCCGAGGATGAGGATGAGGATGGGTCGGAGAACGAGGGCCACCCCAGCCTCATGGCCGGATCGAGGGGCAAGCCCGGCCCCAAGTCTGCTGGGCTGTCCAGCCTGTCCGGCATGCAGGCGGAGCTCCTGTCGCTGGAGGAATCCCTGGCGTCCGGCCAGAAGCCCCGTGTTTCCATCCTTGGCGATGTGCTGGACTCGGACTCCGATTCGGATGATGGTCGGAATGCGCGGGGCGGCAGGCGC